TAAAAGAAGCCTCAACGACAGACTCCAGCGCTTGTAGGATAGGTATACCTGACTCTGTAGCCTGCTACTGTGTGCATGTGTGCGTGTGTGTGTGTGGGGACTAGCCCCAAGGTTTATGATTACAGTGTTTCAATCCGCCTAATAAACTAGAATTTTAAGGTTCCCGAGTTGGACATTTGTAGCCAACACTAGCACCCTTTGGCTTCTAGCCTGAGCCACTGTAGGCATGTGCCTGAATTTCCTCAGTCCAGAGAGAATGTCTGTCCATTTCATCCTAGTCAGGTTAGACTAACCTGCAATGATTGAATCAATTCAGGCTCCATCTTTTTGGATGTCTGTCCCTACCCTAAGTGGCTAAGTGTAATATCTGTCAGAGGCCTAAATTTGTATGCTCAGTCACAGTTTTGATGTATTCCTAATGTCTGAGTGTTTTGACTTAATACCTGGCTGTTTTAGCATAGATTATTGTGTAACCTTGTGAAATACAAACACATTTTTCCATGTAGTAGAGATTATGCCTTTATTTTTCCTCTTAAAAGGAAAAGCACTCTTCCCCTGCACTCTCCTTCCTAATAACTAGGTATTAGTGGGGGGAGTATTGAAACTAAGGGACACTTCCTGGTGGTTAGAGAGCTGGCTGCAGGGGAATCTCTACTCAGGCTTTTCAAACCAGTACAAAGAGATTTTTTGTTGATTGTGCTGAAAGACTAATCCAGATGTTGTATAACATAACTAGATTCAGGTGATAGCTGAGAATTCCAGGCTTGAATACATTTTAGTTTAATATAAATATGATTTTTCAGTTATTATTGTATAAATTAAAGACCCATTAGCAACATTAAAGACAGACATGCTAGCAGGTGACACTTGGATAGGAAGAAGAAAATCTATAGTTTTGTAAAAATGTCAAGTAAAAGTATTATTTTCCCTCAGTTAGGCTTATGCTGCAGTATTCCTTAATATGTAGACATGTGCTTTGTGAGAGGCTTAGTGTTTGTGTTGTAAGGGCTGAGTGTTGGGCAACAGCAAGGAGCCTAGAATGATTGTCACTGGGTCTGCGTGTCAAGGCAGGTGCAAGATTAAGGGTCATACCGAGGGGTTCAGAGCTAGGTGATTTTCAAGAAAATACTACTTGCATGCAAGGCCTTTAAATGGCCAGGCAACTTCCTATTTCATGCGTAGTATGGACCAATGAGAAAGAAAAATAGGATAGCCAAGTAGGTCACAGGTGCCTGTGGATGTGCCATCCTACTGCAGGTGAGGCTAAGTCCTCCTGCAAGTGAAGATAAGTTGTTACCAATAGGGTCCAATGATATTTATTGAGACCAGTATGGCATCATTTGCTCTTCACATTTGTGTCTGCTCACTGTTATGGCTGTATTAATATCAGCTTGGTAGGTTCTTCAGTGTGTATCTGTAATAAATATGTAGAAAAATGTACATAGTATCTAGTATCTGCCAGTTTTGAAAAGGTCACCCTGTAACCTTCTCATGCAGAACTTAAAGGTCCCTGTGATAAGAGGATCCCTATATTTTTTTGCTTTGAAATTGTATAGTAAATTGTCCCTTCTTAACTAAGATCTTTGAGACATTCTTGATCTGAATTAAAATACATTTCCTTATATGAATATGTATACTGAACATTGTTCTCCAAGCTAACCCAAACTCAAATGGCATCCTAGCATCATGAAGATATCATAATGACATTGTGAAAGAAAGTTACTTGCTACTCTGAGAAAGGGATCAATTATCTAAAAATAACTAAATTTGATGTTGCTAAAGTAACCATATTGTGTAAATGTGTCTAAGTTTGGATTCAAAATAAAACAATTGAAATTCTGTGGTTAACCTCTGTCAACAGGACTTTATTTTCTAATTCAGCGCAAGCAAAGTTAACATTACTAGATGCATCTACACGTGCAATTCAGGTGAAGCAATAAACTCTGGAGCAGTTTAAGCCAGAGTAAACTGCTCCTGGATGCAGTGTCTACACATGTGCCCAGGACAGCAGCAATTTGAGCTGGGGCAGAGCAGGCCTTGGTTTGCGGGAGGCCTGTGGGGATCAGTCCTGGGCTCTGGGTGGCAGTGTTGGGCTGCAGAGGGGTTGGCTGGGGCACAGCAGCCCAGCACAAGGGTGCTGTAGCTATGTGGTTAGGCAGCAGGCAGGAGTCTGGCCCCTGCTGGCTGGGCTGACTTTACACAATTTATATCTGCAGTAAGTGTCTACACATGTGTTTTATCACAGTTAATTACTCTGCTGTAAGATAGTCCTGTCCCTTATTAGTCCTGTCCCCGAGTACTGCCCACTCTGGGCTGGCCTGTTCATGATGAGCAGCAGCAGCTGGGCAGAAGCTGTTGGTGGGCAGGGGGAAAAGCACCCCTCCACCCCGTCATTGCTGCTGCCAGGCCTTTCTTGCTGCAGTTGTCCAGAGACCGCAACTGGGCTGTGGCTCCTCTTTGCAGCAGTCACCACTGCCAAGAGCCCTGCCTCCAGGCCACCCAGTGTGGTAGCAGAGAGGGGTCTCAGGGCAGCATGGGCTTCTGGTGGCTGCAGCAAGAAGGGCCTGGCAGCAGCAAGGGTGATGGAGAGGTGGCCTCTTTTGCCCTGCACCCAGCAACAGCTTCTGCCCAGTCACTGCCTCTCATTATGGGTGGGGTGGGCCAGTGCAGAGCAAGCACAAACCTGACCAGGGCCAGGACTTTGCTTGTGGGTCCTGGGCTGTTCCAGAGCTGGTCCACTCTGTCAAGGGTGGGCTGGGATCAGGAATGGAGCTGCGTACGTGGGTCCAGCTGGTCTAGAGCTGGTCTGCTCCAGCTGGGGCGAATCTGGAGTGGGTGCAGGGCAGGCAGGGGCCGGGGCTGTGTGCTCAGCTGATACTGGGCCCCGGTGGAGGCAGCAGTGGCAGAGAGGAACCACAGGGCCTGTGGGGGCGGGGGGAGGGGCGGTACTGATGCTGACTGTCCTGCAACAGCTCTCCCAAACTGCCTACGTGGCCCATGGGCCCAAATAATTGTCCACCCTTAGTCTAGCTCCATCCTTTTTGTAACTACCCTTCAGGTAGTTAAAGGCTGTTATTAAATCCCCCCTCAGTCTTCTCTTCTCCAAAATAAAAAAAGACCACCAGTTTCCTCAGCTTCTCCTCATAAGTCGTTAACTGAATTTTTTTTTTTTTTTTTTTTTTTTTTTTTTCCCCCGCCTCCCCTTCCCCCGCCTCCTTCCCATTCCTCTTAAAACCTGGTGGGAATTACATGGGTCTTTCCCCAAAGCTCTCCACTTAGGGCAAGGTTCTTCCTGTCAGTTTTGATCCTAGCTGTCTAGTACTCTGGTCACCAGGGGAAAGAATGCCTTTGATAAAATAAGCTTATGAAATGGGCTTGAACCTCTGGATCAGTGGTTTTCAACTTTTTTAAACTCAGGGCACCCCTCCATAGACTCAAGGCACCCTTTGGAAATATCACCTCTTAGCTTTTACTCGTTTTGTTCATTATGGAAAACAAATAGACCAATCCTTTTGTTGCAAGACCATAACAGGTCAGAATATTTTTGACGTTATGGATTCCTACTTGAAATGTCTGGGATTATCTTGTGAATTACACGTAGGTGTTTGTTTACTTAACAGCACCAATATTGCGTGGCATCCCTAACCTCCTTGAAAGGATCATAGTGCTGTGGTACCCTGGTTGAAGATGATTGTCTTGGGTAATCCTGGATAATTGTTCTACTTTACTCCCTGATCAACTGTATTTAAAACTCCATTTTATTTCTCCTGCCAAGTAAATGATGATAATTTACAGTCCACTGGATGGTCCCTTAAAAACTGTTGCTTGTGGGGGTCTTCTGATGTCTAAAGAACTGTAAAAACTGAAGCAGTCTTTACATTGAGTGAAAGAAAATATTTTTCCAGAACCAGAGAAGACTTCTGTAAGATAATTTGACTTCACTACACCTGTTAGTGTGATCTCCAAGTAATGAGTTCTCAGCCTTAAATTTATATTGTTTTTTTTTCCCTTTCTATAAAATATGGAACAAGAAATTTCACTAATTTTTGTTGTTGTGCTACTTTTGAGTAAAATGCAAATGTACTCTTAATATCATTTATGTTTCATGTATTAATCCATCCTGAATGTACTATACTTTTAGTATAAAAGTTGCAGCTTTTACAGTAATAATATACAAATTGTATATTAAAACACAGAGGCCGAATCTCCATGTGCCTCCCATGACACAATTGTTACTGCGCTCTCATTTATTACTTGCATTAGAAAGTACTAAATGGTGGTTCAGTAACAGCTGTTACTGCGCTATCCCAGCAGTGCATGGTTATTTTTAGCAGCTGCATCACCATAATGATGCTCTATTGCGAGGTAGCTTGTTGCTATGGCAATGTAGCATTGGCATCACAGTTTGTCCCTACTGACGCTAGGTCACTATAGCTTATTGCTACAGCGACCTAGCGTCTTGTGTAGAGAACCTCTTTTTTGTTAAATTTAAAAGAAAATTCCTCAGTAAGTTTAGCAAAACTTTTAATGTTATGCCCAACTTTAAATCCCACTGAGGTTGCTGACTAGGGATTCAATTAGTTTAATGCACCTTTATGTCTTTTCCTGGATGGTGGCATTCATATTGATTAAATGTTTTGGTTGTTGTAAGTAATTCTTGCGTGCTTAGGGAAAAAAATGGAAAAAGATGGATGGAAATGTAGCAATAACTGAAGTTTTTTCGCATCTACTGATTGTTTGGCAAATGCTCAGATGAAAGTCCTGCATTGTATTTTCTTGATATTCTGCAGGGTATTGCTTATCATAAGTTTTGTACTGGGTACCACAAAGGTGCTTCATTACATAAAAATAGCAAAATTTCTTAGGGCAATTTTGTTCTCTAAACAGTGACTGCTAGCCTTGATTGGCTTTTATAAATGATCATCTGTCTACACCTGTTCATTATCTCTGCGTTACCTAATCCCTGTATAGTTGAATTATTTTTCAAAATTATTTTACAGGTTGTTATTCCAAGAAGTCCTGTCCAGGCCAAAGGATTGTTACTGTCATGCATAGAAGATAAAAACCCCTGCATATTCTTTGAACCTAAAATACTTTACAGAGCAGCAGGTAAAAAGGTTTCCTTTTATGTATATGGTAGTATTGTAGCCAATGAGGCCCAGCTGAGGCGCGATTATTGCTAGTTGAAAACTTTTCTAATACAATGTAGTTTATAGTATGAACATAATGTAAGTAAATGCATGCTTAGTTCATATAGCTTAATTTTTAAAACAGCCATCACTTGTATTTATTTTGTGTCTTTATTTTGCATATACAAAATTCAGTGTGTTCTTACAGACACTTTTCAACTATTGGCCAGATTTTAAAATTTGAATGCCGAAGTTAAGTATTTTAGGCCGGATCCATCTTCCACTGACTTCAATTTCTTCGATGCTTAAATAAGCATCCTGATTTTCCTAGAGAATTCATAGAATCATAGAAAATTAAGTTTGAAAGGGGCATCAGGAGGTCATCTAGTCCAACCCCTGCTCAAAGCAGAACCGTCCCCAAATATATCATTTTAGCCAAGGCTTTTCTAGCCAGGTCTTGAAAAACTCCAAGGATGGAGAGTCCACAACCTCTGTGGGTAACTACCACATGTATTATCAATGATGTACTTAAACCACTACGTTTACTATTAAAGTCAGAGAGCTGTTTAGTTTTCATTATCCCTGAATTCAGGTCAGTTTTTATCCTATTTTTGTTTGTTGAGAAGTGTTATGTACATACTTATTTTCTTTTAAACAGATGCTGTGAACTTAAAAATCACACTTTTGCCTGATAATGCTTTACATGATATTAGTGCGAGCAATGACTAATGTTACAATATCTGAAAGAGATGCCAGACTTGTTTTTTCTATAACAGTTAGCTTAACTTATTTTGCTCAAGTAAGAATAAGAGTGAAAACTGTGGAACAGTTCTTGAATTTTGTGATTTAAGTTGGCAATTGATGAGCCATTGTTAACTCCATAGCATGGCTGGGGTGGGCAAGTGGGCCGCTAGTCCCCGGCACCAACTTTAAAGGTGGCACCAGAATGGAAACCCCTGGGACACTTCCCTGAAGGAGCTAGGATGATTTAACAATAGATGGAAACTAGGCTTTTAACTGAAATATATTGGCCTTGGGTGGGTATTGAGGAAAATATGTCAATCACCTTTTCAGCTAGTTAATCTTTGCAAAGATAAAATCATCTCCCTTTCACTTCTCTCTACCTGAAATTGCTTCTCAGGCACATTAGGATTTTTTTGCTCTTAGAATTTCTGGGAGAATCATTAGGAGAACAGGGATGTAATCTGTAGTACACAGTGTTTGAAAGGCACAGATTATGTCACTTACTGGACATTCCTTAAGATAGTTTGTGCTCCTCTCTTTCCTTCACTAACATGATGTAATACAGGCTTCTTTCACATACTGAAGGTTAAGGGCTTTGCTGCTGCTTGACTGCTTTTTTTTTACCAGGTTGCTCATTTCCTTCTCTCCCTATGTGTTTGTTCATCTTTCAGGCCTTTTTTTAGCTCTTGGAGGATGGATCAGTTCAGAGAAAGGGGGGAATCAATGGTAGACTCTAGGGCTAGGGACAGACATTCCACACAAACCAGTTTAAGTGATCAGAACCTGGTTTAAATGTGTAATAGAACATATGTTCAGTGCACATAAACCAGTTTGAACATGGTTACAACTGGTTTGAGATAGACCTGGTTGAATGTAGTATCAGAATTAACTGATTTGGGTCAAACTGGTTTATGCAATGTCTATCCCATACTCCATGCTGGTTTAAGATAAACTAGACTCCCTCAGCATCCTGGCATGGGTGGGGCTCACAGCAGGGCTGCCCCCTAACCCTCTCTGCTCCCTGGCTGGAGTTCTGGCAAAGACTGCAGGTGCAGCAGGATCTGCCTGGCTTCCCCCTGCCCTACCCTTACCTCGCTGCTGGATGCTCAAGTAGGAATACACCCTCCCTCCCTCCTGTCTCCCACAGCACAGACCCCAGCCCCACAGACTCCAAGTATGTGGCATGCTAACTGTTGCTGAGAGGTGTGTGTGTGTGTCTCTCTTCAATTTCACTGGGACAAATAGGGCTTTTTTGGAGCTAATCAACAGGTCAGCTAGTAAGCTGTGTAAGAAGTGTTTAAACTAATAGAGAGAGGCTATTGTTTTGCTGATGGGGCTAAATTTTGTCATTTCTATTGCTGTAGTCCACAAGGTTATCTAGCTATTTCTTTCCAATCAATCTTCTAGCTGCCTTTTTCAGCATAACCTATTGTCTTTCTTTTAATCAACTCCTTATCCAATTTAGAATTACGGCATCAATATCTGTCTGCTGCAGTTGAGTTAACAATTTCCTTTAGAGACAGTGCCAATGCTTTGACTAAATCTAAATACATTGGGACCCCAGTGCATTTGCCCTTATCTAACAGGGCAATTTTCTTATTATAGTGGAAATTAAACTGATATGACACTATTTTTAATGGATGATACCATATTGCTTTTGATCCATTTTCTGTTTACCTCCATGTCTTTGGTAATTCCTTCCTTCAATATTTGTTCTAAGACCTTGCAAAATGTTGAAGCCAAACTAACTGTTCTGTAGTTCCCTGGGTCTCTCCTTCCCCCAACCTTTTTTTTTTAAAAAATATAGGCACTAAGTTTCCTGATCATAAGATTTCCTGATCAGAGGCTAATGTCTCCCAGTTGAACTATTCATTGAAGATCCTCAGATCTTCATTCCTGAAATGGCCCCAGAAGGGCAGTTGGGTATACAACTCATTGAGAGACTAGCCCCACAGATTCCTCTTTGGAAATTGCTGAATGTCTACATAAAAGGAAAGGCTGTTTTGTGTATAATTGCAAAGTAGCTTTTGTGTTTTCTTTCTGCAGTTTGATAGTAAAAAGAATCTCTTTACAAGGTTAGAAATATATGCTCTTGAAAATAAACAAGGCAAAAAGTGTGTGTGTGGGGGGCAAATTTACATGTACTTTTTTGCATTTTGCCTTTGCAGGTCATTGTACCCTGAGTACTCATATTTTAGTAGGAAAAAGGCACTATACGTGAGTGTATGTTGGCAGAAGAACTTTTTTGTGAGTAAATAACAGATAGATAACAAGCAGTTTCATTGCTGTGGATGGTAGCAGCACCGGAGGCCATTATTCTTGTGCCCCCCTCCCTCAAAATCAGTGTCCGTGGCTGCTGCTCCAGTTGCCCATCCATACTGACAAATATGATACTGTGTTTGGTAATCTACAAAATAATAAATAAGTCATATTTAGGACTTGTGATAGAGACTTGCATACATACAGATGAAGAGTCCTTTCCTCTGTATCCATAATGTCTAAAACACCAAATAACAGAAGTATTTTGACAACATTTAAGTCAGTTCACTTAAATGATGTGTTAAAATATTAACCCAATACTTCTGTATAGTTTTCCATGAAGAGAGATCTTCAAGGTGAAGAATGTATGTGAAATCTTACTGGTAGTGTCAGAAAGTCCCAAGATACAAATGAGCACAGAGATTAGTGTGAATGTTTTCTAGTTTTAAAAGGGATTTCTGATTGAGCTCATTTAGCCGAGTCAAATGACCCTTCTTTGTCGTCTCCTTAGAAGATAAGTTGGCTCCATAAGATACTATCTATGCAGTTTGCTATACAACATGTCAGCTTCTGTTGTGTAGCCCTGTTGGACATGGGCTACTAACTAACGTACAGTTTAATGCACAGTATAAGCTAGCTTCTTTCAGAGTAGTTCTGGTCAATGTGGCACTTAGGTCACTTGCTGCTGCCTTTATTTTCATTTAAACCATGGCTTAGTGTTGCTAACACTGGTGGAGCTCTCCACTGGATATTAGTAAGGGGGGAAACTGAAAATATAATTGTCTAGATCAGATAGGGCCTAAAAACCTGCCAACATTTGTGGAGTCTGTTAAGTAATATGGTAAGGTAGTGTTTCTATGCTGGATATGAGATGAAAGAAAACACTTAACGCATTTACTCAGAGGCTTGATTGAATCTGTCTGCAGCTGGTTAGTGGTAATTGCAATTCATCATTAGGCTTTTGGTCTCACACCTCCAAGTGTGAGGTCTGGTAAATCTTTCAGGCTAGGCAGAGCTTTTTTGTACTCCCACTAATAGTCTTCTGACATTTGGCAGTGGACAGTCCCCCTGCAGTGACACCATCACTGCAAAAAAAAAATCTGGTCCCCATGCAGTGACACCATCACTGCAAAAAAAAAATCTTTATGTAAAGAATGCAGAATGTGTATTATTATAATAATCTCTGCAGATAATGGGTCATCCACAGAGGCCCCTACATATAGTTTGTAATTGACTTCATTGTAGGTTTCTGGTAGAGATTCAGCTTCAGTCTTTGCTTTAGATGACATGGCCTTCATAACAATGTTTAGTTTCCTTGTATATCAGCACTCAAAATAGATCCTTGTAGTAATGCATGCTTTGGTAGCTTTTATCTCTTCTTTAATTGCCAATAATAAGTAAAAAGTATGTGAGGTTTGCTAACATTCAGCTCTCCAAGAGGAGCTGAGAACTCACGCCACATCCAAGGATATTCTGTTCTTATCTGAACAACAGAAAAGTCAGAAAAAGGATGTGAATTCTTCTTTCTTAACATGTGACTATAACCAATTGTCTTAAAAAAAACCTAGGAGTAATTAAAAATGTTAGCATGAAGTCTTCCTGAGTAAGCTGCAACTTCTGGACACATATTGCTAATAATTGGACAGTAAAGAATAGAAATCCTGGTCTCTGCTAAGGTTGCTTGTTGTTCCAACAGTGTAAACTAAGCAACCCTAAATCCTGGAGAATTCCTAAGTGGTGTAGAGCTGTTGTAACTGAGTCTGTGCTATGACTTTAGCCAGGGGCACTTTATTATGACTATAAAAACTAACAAAGCATGACTATCATGATTAGCAAAAATATACAAACACAAAACTTTAGACATCTAAAAATCATAAAAACAAAACATAGCTATCTCTTTGAAACTATGATATAGGATACGTTCGGATACAGAATAGTAACAAGAATCTTGTTACTGCATGCCCACTTTTTAAAATT